GCTATTTGTATAATCGGGTATTATGCAAATGTAAGTCCCAAATAATAAAATTGGCAAGATCAAACACTTAATTAATTTCATCTCCAAAATGTAGCCACACAGTAGGATAGTTTGGGAAGTCACTGGGGATTCTCCTCAGGATCTATGACATCCCCTACCTTTTCTTTTATTTGGACTCCTGAAATAACTGTTCCTGTTTGAGCCACTCCCATTTGCCCTTCTACGTCCTACCTTGAAAACCTGAACCTTGAATTCTTGAAGACTAGAACCATTGATCATTATCGAGAGTTTTCTCAAATGACTCCCGTCATTTGAGATGTAATTAACTATAGGGGCTTGCCTCTATAGGGAACTTGGAACCCAGATAAAATAAACCCTATTTAATCTTTGTATTAAATAGGGGAACTTGTCGGTCATATATAAAAGGTTCGCAGACTAAACGGATGTCACAAATCTCTTAGTTTGCTGGATTGGGTCTATCGCCGAGGTCTACACTTATCTTTCGGGAGGGTGTAGTATTCGCGGTATCAGACACGATTATGCAAACTATTGGACGAATGAGATCCATTTGGTCTCATTTGTCAAAAACTAAAACACTACTTTCAAAACCCAAACTATATATCTTTTATATTTAAATTAAATCTCAAAAATTATTTTCATATATCATATTTTTCAAATAAATCTAAATCAATCTAATCGAAAAGAAAAATAAGTTGACCGACAATGGTTCGAGTTCTTCCGTATCTACCGCACCCCAATCGGACAGGTTTGCTCGGGATTTTGAGGTATCAGAACCGAACAACCTTCATCGTGATGTGATTTTACATTTTAAAGTCAAAATTGTCATATTTTTTATTGTAATTTTAACATGTTATTTTTTCTTTTTTGTTGGGTCTTATTATAATTCATATTAATGTGTGAATGTGTAATGAACTTTTATATATGTCACTGTGTTTATTTGATGTAATCAAAATTTTTTTGAGTTATATAAATATTATTAAACTTTTTTGCATTTTTCATTTCTTGACATTTGAGAAAATAGTATTCTGCTACACAAATTATTCATTCAACTAAAACAAATTTCAAATAAGTTGTTTACAAAACGCACTAATCAAACAGTTAAACAACTTATTCAGAACAGGGGCAAAATGATCAATTTTCCAGAATCAGTTGTTTTCCAGACGCACTAACCAAACAGCCAGACAACTTATCAGGATCAGCTGGTCATCAGCAGATTATCAGGATAAGCTGCTTATCAGTAGAAGTTGGATAAGCTGCAGCTGCCCCAAACAGACCCTAAGTTTGTTTTAGCTTAAAGTTCCAATTCATGTAGCCGACCCCACGTAATGGGATTAAGGCTTTGTTGTTGTTGTTGTAAGATTAAATCTTGAAAAACTAAAAATATCTAATATTTTAAGTTACAGACATATTGTTTTGCCCTTGATCATTTTATATACTTATTTTATTCCTTCCTTGGTTCCCAATCAAACCATACAAACCTTTTTGACTTCCTTATATATTACCCTCTTCACAAAACTACTAGCATTCTTATAACTACCATATATCACACCAATAATAAGACTTTTTTTCATTTTTTAAAGTAAATTCATTTTCTATATTCAACCTCCTCAATCCGCCACCTCATCTCCGTATTAAAATCCGATCATATTTTAAACTCTCGTATAATATCCATGGAAATCTTCTAACTACAACTACCCATTTTATCTAAATCAAGTTTGCTTTAGCTTAAAATTCCAATTCATGTAGCCGACCCCACGTAATGGGATTAAGGCTTTGTTGTTGTTGTTGTCGTTGTTGTTGTAAGATTAAATCTTGTAAGACTGAAAATATCTAACATTTTAAGTTACAGCATCCAAACTTTTTTAACACACACACCAGGCGCGCACGTGTGCACACAGAAATACATGCGTAACTACTCTAAATAAGCTAATCAAATCTTCTCTTCCAAAAATCTCTTACAATCTTCACAGAAAAAAAAAATTCATTCCTTAATGGTTACGGGGTAAGAAAAGAGAATTTGTAATTTAATAACTCAGCCTTTGAGAGTCAAGAAAAGGTGATTTTCTAATTTGTTAAGGAATTTTTTTACTATCACCACATACTAAAACAAAATCAATGCTTTGTTTTTACTGCATCGTTCCAAAAAAAAAAAAAATCATCACTTTCACGTAGAATTACAAACCACTCCAAAAGATAGTATGTATATTGATGATGTAAGATAATTTGTACAAACAAAATCAAAGTTTTCCATGCAATATAAACCAAAGTTGCAATTCAATTTTCAAAAAAATTAATCCAGATAAAAGTCATGCCAAGCAAAGAACATATACAACTTTACATTTGCATCGTATACGTTAGATTAATAGAAACAACTTGCCTACAAAAGTCACTAATGACAATCACCCTCTATTCCTTAGGTTTATATTATAGTTTCATCCATTTATACATAAATACCGGTGATAAAAACTTCATTCTAATCCAATGTAAACACAATATAAGCACTACAGACTTTACAATAAATTCATCAATAATTAACTGAAAAGCAAACATTCAAAAAAATTTATTCCTTCCTAAGTAGCTAAATATATTCTGCTAAATTGACCATTCCAAATCAAATAGGCATGATTCCACTTTTCTGAAAAAAAATAGAGTTCTTTTTTCTTTTTCTAATGCTGATTAGAGCAGTATATTGGCGTAAGCCAAAACCTGCATACACTTCTAATCGAAGTAATTAGATAACTGGGTAAGGGCCATCAAAACCACTAAAAATGGGAACATCATGTGCCCTAAACATTGTCTCAAGCATTATGAAGCAAAAAAGAAGATGAAGAAGCCCTTTTTCTGTAAAACTCTTGCAACATAGCATCAAAATTTTTGGCATTCATGCCTAACATTTCTTTGGTACCATAAAGTGAATTTGCTTATATCCAGTATAAACAAAAACAGCTGCCTACCAATCAAAATAAAGGTTGTAACAAATTTCAGGATTATACATAATCAAAAACCCATCCCCAACTTCACCAGGTGAGATAGAAACCTTTCTAGAGAAGCGAAAAATTTGAGCCATGATGAAAGATTTGATGGAATCTTAGCCAAACAAGGGAAGCTACCAAGCTCTGTGCAGCCTTCAATTCAAAATCTGTCAAAGGAAAAAAATAAAAAAATAGCTAAGCCCATTTACACAATATCATGACAAGAAAATCACCATAAGAACATAAAGAAAAACTGTAAAAAATAGAGGTTAATTAAAGTGTTGTATGGCTGCCACTACTCTGAATGCATTTATTTTGAAAATGAATAGTAACTGCAGTGCATTCAGTTTACTTGAAGCTATGAAGTTGTGGATGTAATATAAGTAAAACTAATTTTTTTTATTAGATTAGATGTAAATTTTAGAATCTGATACTTCAAAAAGATATAATTGTAACAAAGATCAAATCTGTTTTTCTATTTCTCAGCTTATATTTTGTAAGTGAGGGCCTGAAAATGGTAATCAATAAAAACTTGTTTATTTACATGAAAAAAATAATATATTAAAAATCAATGAGCAAGCTGAGAGATGTGATCCAACTTCTTAGTACAGGTGTACTCTAAACAATTGCATTCTATCCAAAATTAAGAAAAAATGGATCCAAAAGAGATGGCTCATTCAATAACACCAAAATAGTTCCCTGCTTCTGCAGCTAAAGAAAATTAAAACTGCAATGTCGAAAAAGTGCAGCTTCAGTTTTCTACAGCTGTTATGAGCTCTATAGCACAGGAAACAAGGAACCCAGCAGCGAAATGGAAGCACAATGCAAATATAATGTTCTACTGAGTACTAATGAAATACTACTTAAACAGAAGAAAATCGCCTCAACAATTAAATCCCCCAAACCCCCAAGCATGAGAGGCGCTAGATTCATAAAAGAGCATTCAAAAATTTTGATGCCATACAGCTTAGAGGGCTAAAACATCCTGCAAATTATATATTTGCAACACAAAAAAGCAAGTTTCCACAGTAGTTTATAATCATAATAGGGAGCCATAAAAAAGCTTGAGATGAGAAGCTATGCCTGCAGGATCAATCAGAGGAAAAGATAACTCTAATGATTGACAATAAGCAAATTATAAAATATTACCTTCCAAAATTATAAATAACATAAAAACTCAAATTATCAACAACAAAGTATCATAAATAATATAGTAATTATCACCTCAAACAAAATATCACTAACAACTACAGATATATTAATATCATCAAAAATATATATCATATGTTGCAACAACTCATCACCAATTTACAAGTCCATAATGTTAATTAGACCAGTCATCTAAAGAAACATAAGTAATCAAATCTATTTTCCGTAGCTCCTTCAACATCCAACCATCCTTGCTTACAAAGGCTTTGACGGGAATGACTGAGCCAAAAATTCAGTTAACAGACAAATTGCTACATACAGTATCAATCTCACACTTAGCATGGGAGGCTTAATGAAGTCAAAAAGTAAATCTCTAATCGCATGTAACACAAGATTAAAATATTGACTATGAATTTTTCTCGATCACCAAATGTTTAAGCACAATTTGGTCGTTAATTTAAACATAAAAAATATTGCAGCAAAGTTCACAACAGTGATTCATATGCATTAATACTAATAAAGCTATAATTAGAATAATAATGGTAATTCTGAATGTGTAACTAAGGTTGATCACCCGCACAACTTCCAAACAAAACAAGGAGAAGGGATAACAAAGCTAAGAACACCCCGTGTAACTATATTTTAAACATAAGATATGATTAACAAAAGCACAACCACATAGCATCACAACACAAATCATAATAAATTTTTATAAGAACCAATCATAAAAGTTCTTGTTCCAAATGGGAGGCCATATTCGGCCATTCAGAATAGGTATTTTGTTCCAAATAGGCATGTCATATTTTAAAGTTCATAATTGGTGGTTGTACGTGGTCAAAGGGCAGTGTTGCAGCAAACTCAAAAGATCATGCAGTGAAAAGTAGCCTTCTTTTAGATTTCCTCGTTCACCTTAATCTAGAACGTTTTTGCACACATTCAGAATAGGTATGTTGTTCGCCCTATCTCTAATGTCATAATTGTGAGCTCTACTTGATTCCATCAATGTATCTCCTACTCTCTGCACAAGTTCAAATCACATCTCAAATGATGTAGCCTACCTCAAGCTTTGCTAGGCTTTTGTTGAGCCTTCTCCCGCGCTTGTATATTTCAGCCAAAGAAACCAACAATTTCTTGAATTTCTCATCATAAAATCCAACATAATCTTGTTAATTACGTAACACCAGTCTCTGTTCCTCTTGGCTAAATTAATGCCTTCGACTCCATCTTCTTCTTCAATAAGCCATCCCCATATCATTTTGTCATCTTTACCTTAGATTTTGCTTTAGCTAAAACAGCTAATCAACCCCTTCAATTTTTAACTCCGAAGCAAGTTCTAAAATCTTGCACCTCTCACCCGATCATTATTGATTCTTCATGAACCTTGTTCAAGTTGCATCCCCACAACCAAATCCAACTTCCAATCACCCCATATCTCATTAGAACCATTCATTCTATCACCGCCATTCTCTAGATCAAACCTCGCCTCCACCTAGATGGCCAACCTCTGCTCAAATCTGATCACCAGTTCTGCCCAAATTTGCAACAACCCAAAGCTACAACCCACTTTATCTTCTCTCAGCCACGCCACCGATGCACCCCCAAGCCTTCATCACCAACCTCTTCTGATCTAGTGTGTTCCTCTTCCAATCTAGTAAGCTGCCACATCTCCGACAATTTTCTACGGCCACTTATCATCTCTGACAGTCTTCTACTGCCATTTGTTAGATCTTGAGAACAGAATCGGTTTTAAAGGAGTAGAAAATGCTAGTGATATTAAATAATTTTGTGTATAATGACAGAGTAATAAGCTCGTTGATGATTAATTTCTGCATTGGGCTAATAAGAGTAGTCAAGTAGTAAGAAGTTAATATTAACAATGAATTAGTAATCTTTTATTTAATAAATACACTTCATTTAGAGACAATAGGAAGAATGAAAAGAATAGGATGAGTTTCTCCGTATTCTTTGATTCTATTATCTAGTTTCCACACTCCCGATTTCTTGAATTGTTGCCATCCTCGAATTACCATCATCTTGATCCCATAAATGGGATCATATCAGAAACACGATGTAGCATCAACATTTTGTTAATATTAGTAGATTCAATGCCAAAAAAAGCATATAGCAACGTAAATATTTAACCCTTGGAAGATAGAAACAGAACAATAAGTAAAAACCCGCACAATCTCTAGGCAGTTTTTAATCTTTACCATACCATACCTACGGTTTTTTTTTTTTGTGCAAATTCTATTTGCTGTCAACTAGTAACATAGAAAAGAGACGATTAAAGGGAAAAAAAGCTAAAAGATTGATATATCTTTAGCATGAAAAAACAGCAGAACTGTCTCACAAACGAATTCGGACATTTAGAACTCAAGGATTGTTGGATAGCAGGATTCAAGCAGGAATTAAGAAGAATTTAACCTAAATCCCGCCAAAAAGCCAACAGAAAAAAATACAACTTTCAACCCTAAAAAGTATCTTAAATTTCGTTTATCCTCCTTTTTACTAAGGGATTTATACAGGATTTAAGCTGAATCCTGCCAAACGGCAAAAATGCCTCCGTAAATCCTGAGCTCCCGTAAATCCAAAAAATGACGCCGATTCGAGATAAAACCGGGATTTACTCGATCATGTGAATCGGCTGATTTAGTAAATCCGGAACAAGCCAAGAGGACGAATGGCGCGAACAGGCCTACCTTCCTCAATGGTTTCTGGTAGGAGCGGAGAGGAAGAATGAGAAAGATGGGAGTTTCGGCGGTCTCTGCAGCCGCGATCCCGTCGTTTCCTTCCCACAGCTCTAATGGCACTGTTTCGCGAAGGCGATGGTTTAGGGCGAAACCGGCAGGGGTAGTGACATGAGCGAAGGTTGGGCAGAGATGGTAAATTTTGGTGAAACCGGAAGAGGGGAAGGATGTCGGAGAGGGTTTCGGTCGGGCAGAGGGAAAAAATTTGCTTACGTCAACCGTTAGTACAGGGGTTTATAATGTCATTACAAAGGGATTATAATTTGTTGTACCTATCCGTTGTACCTCCCGTATAATTTTCGTGTAATCCCGATGTAACCTTGTAATCTCAATGAATAAAATAAAAGCACGGGTTAGAGCTGAGTTACAAGAAAGTTATAACACGCTTATAACCCCCATGTAACTCTCATATAACGCTCATGTACCTGCGTACCCTTTGACGTACGCAAATTTTTCCCCGGGCAGACGGGTGAATTGAACAAGAGATAAATTTTATTAGTAATTAATAAATAATTTATATATAATAAAATTAATTAAAAGTAGCTAATAAAAAAATAATATTTTAATTTTTAAATTATTTAATAAAACTCTAAATAAATTTTAATTTATATAATTAATAATTGATTTATATTAAATGATTTATTAATAAGAATTAGTTTAAAATTAACTATTAATTCATATAATTTATTATTAATAGATATAATTGTTACTTTTTAATATTTTTTATATTTTGAATATTCATTTATATTTTTTTATTTAGTATTTATCTTTCGATGTTCAATAGATCCTGTTAAATACCTTTAAAGCTGTAAAACTGTTTTTCAGGATTTACTTAATAAAATATCAAATAGTTTTTAGGATTTAATTACCACGGAAATCCTACTTGCAAGTTGCAGCCAAACAACCCTTAAATCTCGAATTGGACTCATTTCCAAACTCTTCTTCTCCTTTACATGCCTCTGATCTCGTCGATGTCTATTCCAACGAGCTGATATCGTGTCTTGCTCACTGCTTTGTCTTCAAAGAATTGGAGAATTTTGATAACCGACATTTAGGTCAATTGTTACTAATCAATAATTAAATTAATCACAACAATTAATATAATTAAATTTAATTTGATTGAAAATAATTGGTTATATTAAATTGATTTTATGAATTATTGATGTATATTTTACTATGATATGGGTTTTCCGACTATAATTTAAGTGACATAATTATAATGAAAAAGAAAATCATTGTTAGAATTATTAATATTAAATAAAAAATTATCTATTAATTAAAAAGTAATAAACTGAAAAAGTATTATTAATTAAAGAATGGATTAACTGAAATAAAATAATATTAATTTTATTTCCTATTTAATGGATAAATTTATTGTGTAATTAACTAAATAATCTGAAAATAACTAATTTAAATATTAACTTAAACAATTTAATTGAGATTGCAAAACAAATATGACAAAATTTCACAAGGATGTAAACCTTTAAACTTCAGAATGACGAATTATCTAAATTTAGTTACATTAGAGATAAATAATATTACAGTTGTGTTTGGGTAATGTCACGGTGAGGATGCAAATGTTTGGCAATTTTGAGTTTTTATTGTTTTTTAAAAGTTATGTTGAAAGCTGCATTTTGAAACCTGACTTGACAAAGTGTGGAGATAGACAGAAAAATTACAATATATATTTTTAAAATAAAATAAATTTATAATAACTACCACTTTTTTTTAAACAGTTTCTTCTGCACCAGTTTTGTATCTTCTTCCTCAAACAACTTCAACTGGCCCAAACTCACGGTAAAAAATTTAAAGTCGTTGAACTCGCGAATAAATTATGTTTTGAGTTCAATCTCATTTGTAGCCAAACAATACACATAGACATTTTGACCAAGAAATCAAATTTTGATTTGAGTTTTTTACCTAGAATCACAAGTGAGAGGTAGGACATATTTCATGAATAGATTAAGGGCCTGTTTGGGGCAGTTGTAGCTTATCCAGCTTATGTTGATAAGCAACTTATCCTGATAATGATAAGCTGTGTATCTACAGCTGATTGTGATAAGTTGGATTGTGATTTATGGCCTGAAACTAAGGAATATAAAATGATTCACCAATCAAACCCTAAGGATCCATAATTCAGCCTATGACTCTAACAATAAATAATAGAATAGATAAGTTGTTTAGTCTTCCTTCGATTTTATCTTCTTATTTTTATATTTTGTATATACTTGTATATTGTATATCGTGTAAGGTCTGTACATAAAAAAAGATATATGGAAATACACAAAGACCTTCATAGTTCATATTATAGGATTAGTATAAGATGTTTATTCTTTATTTGAATTTGATTTGGCCCAAAACAGCTGATTTGCAGCTGTTTCTGCGGTTTGTTGTTTGGTTTCTGCAGTTTGAAAACAACTTATTTGTAGTTGTTTGTGGAAAAATTATCATTTAGACCACACGCAATCGAGTTGTTTGCATCAGTAATGTAATGGGAAAGCATTTAATATACTAAACTAAAAAAAAAACACTACATAACAGTTCAAAGAAAAAAAAAAAAAACTACACGTTTTTGGAGAGCACGAGACTGGTAGGAAAACAACAAGATTTAACGCAACTCATCCAACTATCAAAAAATGCATAAATGTAAGTAGTAAACAGACCGGACAGGCGTGTCTTTCATAGTTGCAGTAGTGTTTCTGTATTTTTGTTAGTGGTAGCTTTTTTTTGCTTTGCTTTTGCAGCATTATTGTTTTTAATTGTTTTATCATTTGGCCTGCAAGAATTATAGGAGAAGAGGAAGGAGCGTGCCAATTTTGCCTACGAGAGGAAGAAACAATTGGCAAAGCTACGCTCCAAGGGTGAGAAGACTGTAGAAGAGAAACTTGGTTCTGAAATTCAAATACTTGCGCCAATCAAGTACTGAAGTATGTTCTGTTCAATATATATATATATTCTCTTTTTGTTATTCTAACCATAGGTCTCCATTGGATTCCTTTGAAATTAGAAAGTATCTTGTGAAAAATAATGATTTTATTACAGTTATTTATAATGAAGGTTAATTATGCATGGGGCATTTACATACATACCATCCAAATCCTATATATTTATATAGGCAACACCTAAACTTTTACAACTAAAATTTATGCCACCCAAAGATTTCATATCACATAAAAATGCCACATTTATAACTATACTATAAATCACCATCAAACCTCTCAAACCTTCATAATCGTAAATGAAACCAATTACTGCAACATTTGATAAAACATATTTATAAATCCAGGCAACAGCTATATAAGAAGTCTATATAATTGCATCTCCTGGAGCAACTTGAGTTAGAGAGAGCAGCTGCAAAATCCTCACACCTGTTGCTGAACGATTACTAGCCATCATATGTGGCAAAAAAAAAAAAATAATAATAATAATAAAAATAAAATAAAATTATATATATATATATATATATATATAACATATTTATAAATCATATGTGGCCAAATAAAAATACATAAATCTGCAACAGTATAATTTGAAACTACTTGCTACCAAACTGTTAAATTTTTTAAGAGCAAATGCAAAAAGTTTGATCGGTAAAAAAACGAACAAAAAGAGGGTAATTACATACATGCCACCAAATTCTTACCACCAAATTCTTAAAAAAGAGGGTAATTACATACATGCCACCAAATTCTTATGTATTAACAAATTTTAAGTATCGGAAATGTAAACGTACAGGAATTGTTTTTAAAGTATGTAAAACCCTTAAAAATAGAAGGGTATTTACATACATACCACCCAATTCCTATCTATTTACATATCTAACATGAAAATTTCACATTTTACATTTATACCCCGAATATTTGCTAACTTAATTTTTTCTACTATTTTTTTATTTAAGAAAATCACGACAGAGTAGATTTTTACTATTTTTCTATATATATATGAATCATTTATCATTCATTTATCATAACTAGAACCTAAAATAAAGATATTTTAATCAAAGAATATTTACATAGATACCACTCTATTTACACATCTGGCAGCTAAACTTCAATTTTTAAGTATATGTCACATTAAATATGCATGAAAATGAGTATTTCACATTATTTATTTATTTATTTATTTTGAATACTTTTTAAAAGTTAATATTGCGATATTTTTTTATGCAATATGAAATAAACTGATATAAATGTAAAAAAGCAAATTTTAAGTGTCTGATATGTAATTACATAAGAATATATATATAGATGCTCAATGCCAATGCAAGTGAATCATAATTTTGCAAAAGCCAGGTTCTTTGATACTCAAAGATGGCAGTTCTGACAGCATTAATCTCATTACTTTACAAAACAAAATATTACACATCAACCCTCAAAAGAAACATTTTCTCAAAATCATGCTAAATTGAATGAACTGGCCGTGCTCTCCACAAACTTCCTGGCTCCCTTAAACCACCTCTTGTCACCTGCTTGCGCCTTGCAAATGTACAGTTTGCCATCCGAGACAGCTGCAGTGATGAGCTGATGCTTGCCGCCCTCGTCTCCGTCCGCCGTCCTCGTTAACACTGAAACAAAATAGTATTGCTTTCCGCCGATCACCGGTGCCGATGACTCCAATATATTAGCAGTAGCAACCAGGTTATCATCAAACCCTCCCTAGAAAATGAATCATTTAAGCATCATATATATGTGCTGTCAAAAAAAGCTTGTTGTCTGTATTCTCTCATTCTCTCTTCTTTGTTAACCGATGTTCGAACAATTTCTATAAAGCCGATTATTAAATGAGCTAATCATGAATTGATATAAGCATGTGTACAGTTATACTTACGTTTGTGTATATTCATGTTCCTCAACTTATAGACATATCATGATTACATTGTATATTCTCCAAGTTATGTCTTTTAAATAGATTTTATGTTCATGAAAAAATTACGTTCAAATCAAAACATTAATAAAAGATTGGGGTGTTTACATACATACCACCAAATTCCTATTTATTTACATATCCAGCATCTAAACATTACATTTTACATTTATACCGCCCAAATATTTCATATTACATCAGAAACAACACTATTTTAATCTCGAGAAGGTGAAATACAACTTTTCATACATAGGCACGGTGGCATATATGTAAAAAATAAAATTTTGGTGTTAGATATGTAAATACATAGGGATTGAGTGGTATGTATGTGAATCATCATAAAAGTTTTTGGCAAATCTGCTTAATGAATCATGCTAAACAACACTTGACTCACTCATGCTCAGCTTGTTTACACCCCTACATGCATAAGAATATACCAAATGCTGGAAAAATACCAGGGGCATTTACATATATCCTCCCAATTCCTACATACTTACATATCTAATACCTAAAGTTTGATTTTTACAATAATACCACCCAAAGCTTTCCTAAAACTACCACTATTTTAACTGTTAAAAGGTGACAAACCTTTTCATGCATAGACAAGGGGACAGGCATGTAAAAATTAAAGTTTAGGCGTTAGATATGTAAATACATAGACATTGAGTGGTATGTACGTAAATATTCCTAAAAACCATGTCAAATGATATGATATCTACCTCAGCTTGTGTGGTTCCAGCATAAGTCTGTTTGCCTAGCAAAAAATCAACCTGCGCACAAAACCAAAAAAAAAACACAATCCTAATTTTTACAACTTAAATGTGTATGAGATAAAACAAATCGAAGCAGGTAGATGTAATCAATTACTTGTGAGAGAAACTGCTCGGGCGGACCATAATCGGTGATTGACTTCTTATCTGTGGGGGTGATGATGACCGAAACATAGCTGTTGGAGTCAAAGTTGTCCTCGTATCGGAGAACCTGGCCGGGAAATTCTACCTCTTTGCTTGGGTTCCATTTGGATGGGATCAAGAGCTTGAATCCATCGCCATTGTAGGGCAGGAAGTCGGTGTTCGTTTTTGGCTTGCCAAACACATTAGCTGCATCAAGTTCAGAATTGTACTGAATAAAACCAATGGTAACTTTCAAAACCTTCATCAGCCTTGAAATCTATAACTAAACTAGTTAAACTAAACCAATTTTCTTAAAACTATAGAATGTCTTGAAATCTATGTTTTAGTTCTAAACAATCATAGATAATTTTGGAAGTCATACACTTCAATTGTCCTAATCACCTTAGAATCCATATGTTATATTAGAGTAAATCTCCTACAATCCTATAATGCCTTGAAATGCATAATTAGTCCTAGACAGCCATGATTAGTCATGGAAGTCATATACTTGACATGGAAGTATTAAACTCTGACTAGTTCTATTATCAAGTCATTGAACTGACTAGGACCTACTCTGATAGCCAATTTTGAAAGGGATAGACTAGATTATTCACATTCATAGTGAAAACCCAGAGTGGCTTGAAATCTATAAGATTATAAATTGAAAGCCCACCTTGATATGGACCTAAAACTAGTTTGCTAAACTTCGATTGGACCATAGAAGGCTCTTAGAGGTCTAAATGGGCCCAAACCATATATAACTTAGGAAGAACAAAATCTTAATCATGGTGTCTTCCCTCAAATAACTCTTGATTTGAGATTGATATGTTCACTTATGGCATTATCACCTTGTTAACTTTATTTTGATTCAAGATTGAACCTAGGTGGTTTTGCTAACCCAAGTTGATTAGTCCATCCTACTTAGAAATTTAGTTCAGCCCAATAAATCTGCTTGGGGCCAACTGATTTTCCCCAAGCCTGAATCAATCCCTATGCTAACCCAAAGCAACCGATTGGACTCTTAAGGACCCACTGGGCCTTTGACTTAATCAAGCTAGCCATAGTGCTAGCTTGACTTAGTTCAAATCCAACCTAAACCTATAAATCTAAGATTGATTCCTAGCTAAAATGGCCTAGCTAGCCTTAATTAACTTGAAGTAGATCCTCCATATAATCCAATTGCATGTTAATTGGTTGGCATGGCTTGACCTAACAAAATTGAATACTTGACTCAGGCAAGTTCAAACTAAGATGGAATGAGAGATAGTAGAGAAAGCATGCTGATGTGCGATCAAATTAAGGCATAAGAGGTGGAATAAGTTTGTATATAAGAGCCATTTATCTTCATAAATTGTATTTTGTAGTAATATGCTAATTTGAAGTGGTCTAAAAGCCATGCCGACTTTGTTACTCAGTTTTTTTGGCATGTTATGAGACTTGATTATCAGTATAAGGTAAGGGTGATAATTTTGTTTGAAACTTGAAACACAAAAAAAAAAAACATTAATCTACTAGAGATAAAAATTGACTTACTTTGACTTGAGGTTACCTAGCGTGAAATTAATTTACTTCAACTCAAGATTATCTCTACATACATATTCATGTACACACTTACACAAATTCATATATAGCATTATGAGCATACCATGCACTCAAATGAATAAATTGATAGTCATTCACATATGACTCATTTATATTTACCAATTTACATAATTAAACTGCCTAAAATAAAATTTTACAAGCTCACTATATAAATGAATAAGCATGGGTGCTTACTCTTCCGTTTACATGTGAATATGCTCATTAAATGTTTAACACATAGTTCGCTAAAAACTCAATAAAATACTCATTTAATAAAGACTTAACCGCTTATTTAACACTCATTCTATACTATTATACCACTTTCATATACCTCATGGATTTTACACTAGTGCCTATTTTTTAAAATATAAATATGATGAAATATCAAACAAAAAGCTAAATATATAAATTAGGAATGTTCTTATTGAAATTTTAATTTCAAAAACATATTAAAATAAAAAAAGTAGTAAATTATGCCAATTTTGATTAAAATATGTATATCAAAACATTTCAAAGTAATAAAACTACATTTCAACCATTAGTGTCAAACATAAAAATTATTGGATTCGATTAAGCTCATTATGACTCGAACAAAATAAAAAAAATTAATAAACAAGTTTGAATAAGATTTTACATTTCTTTTCATGCTCAAGCTCAATTTGAACATGATAAAAAAATAAATGAATGAGTTTGAATAATGTAGTGCTTTGGTCAACTTGATTCATTTATGTATGTACTACATCCACACTATTATTACATCTAATTAATGATACGTACAAATTTTACATAATACATTAATATATATACTAAATATTAATTACAAAATATAAAACAAACTTTTATAAAATAAAAAGTCCCGTCCCAAATAAACTTCAAAATCAACTCCAAATCAATGACTTTCAACTTGACTTAGAATTGCCTCGAATCAATCAAAATTTCCAATTTCTAGTTATACACAACTTTCCTTGATCCCAAGTCAACAACTTTTATACTAAAGAGACTTTGGAGAATAAAATTCTTACTATTTCCTTTTGATAGAAAATCAAGTGAATTTTGTTATTGTGCAAGCAAGCCATCCACTTCCAAATGTAGATTATGAATTTCAACTTATATATGGTAATTATGGTTCATTAAGTTTATATAAACAATCAAAGTAATGTGGAAAATTTGGCCTAAAAACACTACATGTGAGTCACCCCATCTCATTCACCATGAATGGTTGATATGGGGAGTGAGGCCAGACAAAATAGATTTTTTTATCTTATATTTATCTCCATACACACTGCATATATTGAAATAAAAGTGGGCATTTACCATCTATAATTAAGACCAAGCATCAATATACTCAGTCACACTTTCTGCAAAAGCTTCAAAAGCTAAACACGCCCTTTTAATTTAAGAAATTTTAGGGTATAAATCAGCGCTAAATGACTTCCAGACTCTCAAGAAGTATAATCAGAGCTACAGCGACCTATTTCCTGACAGATTATAAAGACAAGCTAGAACATCCAACAAAAGCATTAACAGCGAATCAAAAAGCTTCTTATTAAACTATTCCAAAACAGGAATATAAGTGGGAAGCTAAAAATAGTCAATTAGGGTTTAGATCCATCAGTAGTCGTTAAATCTTACCGGCTTCTCCATATGCAGCGTCGGCCGGTGAGACCTTGGTGCCGATGGCGGCAGCGCCTATGAGTATCGTGACGGCCAATCTGCGTGAGACAGCAGCAGAGTTGTTCGCCTCAACCATGGCAGCCGCCTGCTTCTGAGCTCTGACGACAACCTGGGTAGAGCGGAGGTTCGGCATAAGGCGATGAGACCTGGAGGTGGCAGTGGCCGTGGCTGGGGAGGGAGCATGGTTGTGGAAGAAGCAAGCAGTAGTTGCCATCTCTCTCTCTCTGGACTGCACTCTCCCTCTGAGATTTGAGAGATTCTCCTGCGCGTAACAGGGGGTAGAGATTAGGGTTCAATTTGTTGTGGCGAGCTCGGAAGTGGATAAATGAGGGGATCAGTGTGGGGGAGTGGATAAGGTTCGAGCAGCTCTGATTGGTACACGATGGACTGACATTTGCATATACATTTCTTCGTCTCACAGCCTCGGAATTTTTATTTTTTTTATTTCAGGAATGTGCTCGTTGTACGGCATATTGGCTGAGGGTAAACTTACCAGATGATGATGGTGGGTTGGCTGGACACAGAAAACGTAAATATCATTAAAAAATGGCTTTATATGCCCCTGTATTAAATAAATATATTATATCATCATTGTTATTTTTCTTTAATTTTTTTTCACACAGGCCCAAATGCACTCACTTCGTATATGCAAAGCTTTAAACCCACGACTTGCAACTTCATTTTAAGGAAAAATTATTACACGCGTAGTTTGAATGCGTCTAGATTCTAATCTCGTTCGACGAAGCGGTACAACTTCGTTATAGTGGGGAGAACGTTGACAAAATCTATGACCTCTGTTTGGTACAATAATGTCAACGGAAGTTCATGGAACGAAATATCATATTCTCTCTGTTTCAGCTTGCAACGTCCCGTTAGCTTTGTCGGCATATTGCTCCATTCTGCTATTTCGTAAATAAAAATGTCCAAATTAGCCTCTACTGCCTTATGAGGCCACTTGCATCCTTCCGGCTTCCTCTCGTCCAACCTCTGACCACCAGAAGTAAATGTTAAACTGGCGACGTACAAGAAACCGAAACTCTAATTTCAGTCTTGTTAGAAACCCTCGCCTACTTCAAAAGAGGATGGAAAAGAAGGTTGCGCGGTGATTTCAAAATGCAAGATATGTTTCTAAATAAAAGATATTTTAGTATCCTTGAGTTTGAAAAATTATCTTTTATCAAACGACTTATTAGTTGTAATAAATAAAATTTTATATTATTGTTTATACTAAATCTGTCTTTAAAGTATTCCCAAAACAAAATCTCCATGTACAAAAATATTGTACGTGGAGTCCAATTGATGTGCATATATTATTCTATAAACTTTATCAGTTGAATAATGTTGTACATGAAGTCTGCATAATGCATTAGTAGTTGTTTAAGTCATATTGGCTTCTCATTAATGAGATATCATATAGTATTCAATAAACATTATTCCAATTTATTAAATAATATATGAGTTCTTTATCAATGTCTTCATAAATTTATCCTCCTCTCCAATGATGTGCATCAGGGCATCTTCAGACCACTTCAAAAATTCCTTCCTCCTTGACTTATTGCGTATGTCATCATTGATCTCAATCTCTAATCACTTCTTTATATAATATAATAATATTGATCAATAGGACTTTGGGTAGCATCGTATATGGTCCCTTATTAAAGCACATAATACACAAAAATAGAAATTAGAGTTGGTGGAAAGAAGATCAAATTTCCTACATATCTAATTAAGAAAAATATTGTTTACAGTACTACCTAACCAAATCGTTGGAGTATTCAACTGCTAAAAACATGTTATGTTTATGTTATCCACTCCTAACTATTTCTACTTTGTGTTATCTAAGAATCATGTCATCTAAGATTTGAAAAAAAGACGATCACTCATCCGTGAAATGAATGGATCAATGTCATCTAATGAATTTATGAAGCATACATCTAATCGAAAACTTATCTCAAATCTATGGCCTTCTATTAAACTTTATTAATTGTTCACCGCTCTTATGTGTAGTAGAAGGGATATGCTAACAACTACTAAATTTAAACCTCCTAATTCGTAGGCATGTTGACAATGGTATAATCTTCTATCTCCACCCTCTCTCCATGTACATATTGTCTAAATCAACTGAGTAAAAGATTGGGACAACACCTTCTAGCACTTCTCTTTTCCTTACTGCTATTTCTAATATACAAAACTTTGATTAAGAATGACCAGAGTATTCAATCTCTTTTTTAGTCTTATTGGATTATTCTTTATCCCAATTTGACCACTCAACTATTTTATAATGACAAAAAATTGCTGAAATGGACTGATTTATATTTGATTGTGGTCACTCTCTCCTAAAAAAATTGGGTGCTCGCTCACTTTTTCATAGCATTTAGTGAGATTAGTTGAATATGAGTATGTACAATAGGCTCATATAAGCCTTCCTCATTATCAGTATAAGACAGATACAACACAACAACAACAATAACAACAAGCTTTTATCCCACAAAGCGGGGTCGCCTACATGAACCATTTTTTTTCATTGTGTCCTATTGAGTGTCATATTTTCATTTAATTATAATAGATTAAGATCATTTTTTATACAATATGCCCAAGTCTTTTTAAGTCAACCTCTGCTTTTCTTAACATCGGTCAAACCTAAAACATCTACTATCCTAACCAGATCATCAAATGGTTGACATTTAATGTGATCAAACCATCCAAGACGCCTCTCTCTAATCTTGTCCACCACTGGAGCTACACCAAACCTATCACAAAAATGTTCATTCACATTTTGTCTCTAAGTTTCAAGCCACTCATCCACCTAAGCAACACTTAACTTTCTTTTATGCTTCTCTTTTAAAGGCCAACATTTTATCCATAGAACATTACTACTCTCACCACCATTTTATAAAATTTTCCCTTCAGTTTCATTGGTACTTTTCTATCACAAAATACGCCTGAAGCATTCCTCCACTTCAACCAATTAAGTTGAATTCTACTAATAACATCCCCATCAAAATCACCATCACTCTAAACAATATACCCAAGATATCTAATGCCACGACCTATCTTGATATAACCTTTATATGGTAATAGATTATACCATGTTGTGCGCAACAAATTATTTAGCCAAAGATCTATTTGGAAGAAAATTTTTTTATAATTCTCATTGCACATAACCACTAAGTCACCGATAATTGTATAAAAATAAATCTAAAGAGCATCATAATATCATTTTCTTTATATACATCAAAACTACTTACATCTAAAATATTTATATACATTGATCATGATTTTCTAATAATCCCAACAAAACATATATATACCTCTATCAGCAAGTACTAGTAGCTCACTCCACGTACCCTTCCTAGAAAATATGTAAAAATAACCAGAATAAACAAATAGTTTAGTAGTTACATGAAACCTACAACTGAAATCAATGCACAGAAATAGAGCAATATGCATGATTGCATCATAATCATATCTTATATGCTAAACAAGTGTGTAGGTCACTGGACATTCATATGTATGCTGCAAAGTATGCACCCGTAACATGATATTAAATCACCATAGTAACAATACATAAAATGCATATCTTTAAGTGCAACTATTATATATATATATATT